CTGCTCCCCGGCCTCCGGGCTCGGGACCCGATGTCCCAGCGGCCTGTCCTGCCCTCGTGTCCTCCTGTCCTATCCTCCTGTCCTGTCCTCCTGTCCTGCCCTCCTGTCCTGTCCTCCTGTCCCGTCCTCCTGTCCTGCCCTCCTGTCCTGCCCTCCTGTCCTCCTGTCCTGCCCTCCTGTCCTCCTGTCCTGCCCTCCTGTCCTCCTGTCCTGCCCTTCTGTCCCGTCCTCCTGTCCTGTCCTCCTGTCCTGTCCTGTCCTCCTGTCCTGCCCTCCTGTCCCGTCCTCCTGTCCTGTCCTCCTGTCCTGTCCTGTCCTCCTGTCCTGCCCTCCTGTCCCTCCTGTCCTGTCCTCCTGTCCTGCCCTCCTGTCCTGTCCCTCCTGTCCCGCCCTCCTGTCCTCCTGTCCTGCCCTCCCGTCCTGTCCTCCTGTCCCGTCCTCCCGTCCTGTCCTGCCCTCCCGTCCTGTCCAGGAGCTCGGCAAGCGAGCAGCAGCAGCCGGAGGGACAGCTGTCCTGGAGGAGGGGACGAGGGGCCACAGAACCCGCCTGCTCCTGGGAAGGGAAGTCCCTCAGACCGCCCGTCCGCCCGTCCGCCCGCCCGCACGCTCTGCACCCCTCCGAGCTGGGCCTGCAGCACAAAGTGGTCAGCGGGCGCCGGCCCTCCTGGGGAGAGGAGGAGGAGGAGGAGGAGGAGGAGGAGGAGGAGGAGGACGTGGACGGGGGCCAGGGAGGTGGGAGGGGCAGCTGGCACGTGTGCGCTGGGCAGAGGGCAGGGGGCCTGTGACCGGTGACGGGGCCCAGGGTGGGGGCCGAGGGCAGAGGGACCTGCCGGCTCACAGCCGGGCGTCCCCGCCTTCTGTCCCCACCGCCCAGGGCAGGGGGACCGGGCACCCAGAGCAGGACAAACGGACGGGGAAGGCGCCCGCGGGCCCAGGGCAGAGCGGCCCCTGGGACGGAGCCAGATGTGAAGGACGCGGACAGGAATAACCAGCCTCCGGACAGGAGACGGTTTGGGGGGGAGATTTTGGGGGGGGGAGGGTTTGGGGGGAGATTTGGGGGGGGAGGGTTTGGGGGGAGGTTTTGGGGGAGAGGTTTTGGGGGAGAGGGTTTGGGGGGGAGGTTTTTTGGGGGGAGGTTTTTGGGGGGGGGTTTGGGGGGAGGTTTTGGGGGAGAGGGTTTGGGGGGGAGGGTTTGGGGGAGAGGGTTTGGGGGGAGGGTTTGGGGGTAGCATTTGGGGGGAGGTTTTGGGGGAGAGGTTTTGGGGGGGAGGTTTTGGGGGGGAGGTTTTGGGGGGAGGGTTTGGGGGGGAGAGGGTTTGGGGGGAGCGTTTGGGGGGGAGCGTTTGGGGGGAGGGTTTGGGGGGAGCGTTTGGGGGGGAGGGTTTGGGGGAGAGGGTTTGGGGTGGAGGGTTTGGGGGGAGGGTTTAGGGGAGAGGGTTTGGGGGGAGGTTTTGGGGGGAGGTTTTGGGGGGGAGATTTTGGGGAGGAGGGTTTGGGGGGGAGGTTTTGGGGGTAGGTTTTGGGGGGGAGATTTGGGGGGAGAGATTTTGGGGGGAGGGTTTGGGGGGGAGAGGGTTTGGGGGGAGCGTTTGGGGGGGTGCGTTTGGGGGGGAGGATTTGGGGGAGAGGGTTTGGTGTGGAGGGTTTGGGGGGAAGGTTTAGGGGAGAGGGTTTGGGGGGAGGTTTTGGGGGGAGGTTTTGGGGGGGAGATTTTGAGGGAGAGATTTTGGGGGGAGGGTTTGGGGGGGAGGTTTTGGGGGGCAGGGTTTGGGAGGGAAGAGATTCCTTGGAGGGAGGAGAGGCACTCGCACTAGGCCCTGAGGCCGCCTCATGGCGGGGGGCCCTGCACTTGATCACGGGCTCCTTCCGGTCTAGGGCGCCAGCCACCCGGGGTACGAGGGTCAGTGCCATGGTGTCCGGGCGCCCGACCAGCCTGCAGGACCCTACGGGGGCATGGGGACTTCCCGGGGTGGTGGGGGGAGTGTGGCCGGGGGTCCTGGGCAGAGCTCATGGGGTCCTGAGCATGGGGCCCCACAAGACTCTGCTCACCCCCGGGCGGCCCCCGTACACCTCGCTGCAAACCCCACTCGCACCCATGACATCACCACCCCATCCATTTGTCCCGGTATCTGTTCACGTGTCTGACCCTCAGCCGAGGAGGACATTCCCGCGGGATTCAGGAGGGACAGAGAGAAACATCGACAGGACAGACACCCACCGGCTGCCCCCACCTGGGGCCCCACCAGGCTGAGGGCCACACCGCACCGGGGGTGCGAGCCCTCGGCCGGAATCGAACCCGGGACCCTGCAGTCCGCAGGCTGACGCCTATGTGGCAGACGTGGTGTTCGGAGACGTTTACGTTTAAACAATGTGGCTCTCCGGAGAGATTTCCTTCCTTTTTTCTTTCTTTCTTTCTTTTATTTTTTTTAAATGTATTTTATTGATTTTGTACAGAGAGGAAGGGAGAGAGATAGAGAGTTAGAAACGTCCATGAGAGAGAGTCATCGACCAGCTGCCTCCTGCACGCCCCCCGCTGGGAATGTGCCCTCAGCCACCAACACCCATGCCCTTGACCGGGAATCGAACCCGGGACCCTTCCGTCCGCAGGCCGATGCTCTATCCACTGAGCCACACCGGTTTCGGCTGAGGCCATGGTATTTAAGCAGAGTTGTTTGTTTATTTAATTTTGCTTGTTATTTTATTGGACTGGATTGAGAGAAAGAGAGAGAGACATCGATTTGTTGTTGCACATATTTATGTATTCATTGGCTGATTTAATAATATATATATATTTAATTATTACTTATTAAAAAAATGTTTTTAAATATATTTCATTGACTTTCCACAAAGAGGAAGGGAGAGGGACAGAGAGTCAGAAACATCCATGATGAAAGAGAGTCATCGACCAGCTGCCTCCTGCACGCCCCCCACTGTGGATGTGCCCTCAGCCACCCAGGTCCGTGCCCATGACCGGGAATCGAACCCGGGACCCTTCCGTCCGCAGGCCGACGCTCTATCCACTGAGCCACACCGGTTTCAGCGCCAGAGAAATTCCAATCGTTGTCCTGTGGGTGTTTGGCTCTGTGGACGGATGAGTTTGCCCACCCGTGGGCCTGATCTGAACCCGTGAGGGCCTGGGACTTTGGTTAAATGACGGACAGACAGACGGACAGACAGACAGAGGGCGGCAGCTCCAGGCGCAGGAGGCGGACAGAGGCCCCTGACAGACAGACAGACGACAGACAGACAGACAGGGCAGGTCCAGAGCAAGTCCTCATTCAGAAATACAACCCAGAGGCCACCAACTATCACCTGACAGACAGACAGACAGACAGAGTGCGGCAGCTCCAGGCACAGGAGGCGGACAGAGGCCCCTGACAGACAGACAGACGGACAGACAGACAGACAGACTGGGGCAGGCGTAGAGCGAATCCCACTCGGAGATACAACCCAGAGGGCACCGACTGTCACCTGACAGACAGACAGACAGCCAGACAGACACAGACAGACATTGGCTGGTCCAGAGCGAGTCCTCAGAAATACTACCCAGAGGCCCCCGACAGACAGACAGACGAACAGTCCGAGCAAGTCCAGAGCGAGTCCCACTCAGAGATACAGCCCAGAGGCCACCGACAGACAGACAGACACTGGCTGGTCCAGAGCGAGTGCCCAAACCCAGAGGCCCAGACAGACAGACAGATGGACGGTCTGTGCAAGTCCAGAGCGAGTCCCACTCAGAGATACAATCCAGAGGCCACTGACAGACAGACAGACAGACAGACACTGGCTGGTCCAGAGCGAGTGCCCAAACCCAGAGGCCCAGACAGACAGATGGACGGTCTGTGCGAGTCCAGAGTTGGTTCCCATTCAAAGATACAACTCAGAGGTCACCGACTGTCGCCTGACGGACGGACGGACAGACACTGGGTGGTCCAGAGCGAGTGCCTAAACCCAGAGGCCCCTGACAGACAGACGGACGGACGGACTGGGGCAGGCCCAGATGGAGTCCCATTCAAAGATACAACCCAGAGGCCACCAACTATCGCCTGACAGATGGACGGACAGACACTGAGTGGTCCAGAGCGAGTTCAGCAGTCACTCGGCATAGAGGAAACTGCTAAGGACTCACCAACGAAAACCGACGCAGACCCCTCAAAACGAACCCCCAAAATACAGCCAACTCGGGGCTCTGTCCCGGATAAAAATATTTTGTTGTTTATTCTCACCTGAGATATACACGGAGCGGCCAGAGGAGGGTGATCTCTGAATGCATCATCATCCGGCCGCTCCGTGTCCATCCTATAGGATAAAAGGCTCATAGGCACATGGTCCCCTCGACCGGGAGTCCGACCAGCAGGCAGGCCGGCCGACCGCCCACGTCCCCTGCCCCTGGCCAGGCTGGCCGGACCCCACCCAGGCACGGATTCATGCACCGGGCCTCATACACACACACACTGAGTGGCCAAATTATTATGTGTTCAGAGATCATCATAATCTGGCCACTCAATGTGTATTTTCCCCCTTGATTTTTCTTTAAAAAAAAAAAAATATATATATATATATATATATTATTGATTTTTTACAGAGAGGGAGAGAGATAGAGAGTTAGAAACATCGATGAAAAAAAAAACATCCATCAGCTGCCTCCTGCACAACCCCTACCAGGGATGTGCCCGCAACCAATGTCCATGCCCTTGACGGGAATCGAACCTGGGACCTTTCAGTCTGCAGCAGACCGACGCTCTATCCGCTGAGCCACACCGGTTTCAGCCATAAAACATATTTTTCAAACATAAAATAAAATAAATAAAAATGACAAAATTAAAAAAAAAAAAAAAAAGTGGGTACTTGCATCTGGGACATTTGCACCAGCAGCATCCTCTGCACCTGCCGCGCGTTGCTAAGGCGCGTTGCTAAGGCGCGTTGCCAAGGCGCGTTGCTAGGCGACCGGAGGGTACCAGTGCTGGGTACCAACCGGAAGTAAGAAAGAGGAAACTTACCAGTCGGGTCCCCGCGGCGGATCGACGAGCCCCTCGGCTGTGCGGCCCGGCCCGGGGGCTGGAGGCGGCGCCCAGGGGCAGCGCGGCGGCCGCGGGGGCCGCCGGGCAGGGCGCCGCCGCCGCCGCCAGGGGCGCGGGGGGCGTCCCGGCGTCCCCGGCGCCGCCAGGAGCCCGGATGCTCTGCAGACACTCCCGGAGCATGGCCTGCGTGCCCGCCTCGCTGAGCCAGCACAGGAACAGCTCGTCCACCTTCATCTTCAGCACCGGCTGCAGCGCTTTGCCCGGCGGCATCGCGGAGGCCCGGATGCTCGGCGGCCCGGAGGCCCTGTGTCCGTCCTCAGGCCGGGGCCTGACGTGCACGGTCCGGTCTGCAGGGGGCGACCTCGGGGTGCAGACCCCGGCCGCCCGGGGGGCTCCGAGCCCCGGCGGGGGGCGTGCACCCGAGCAGCGCGGTGCAGGGGCGCCGGCCGGCCCGGCCGCCTGGGGTCGCACGCAGGCCCGGCTCCGGGTCCGAGGGGCAGGGGCGCGGGGCGGGGACTGCGAGTCTACAGCTCGGGGTTTGGGGGGGAGGAGGCGGCGGGCGGCCTGACGGGGTCCGGGGTCGGGGAAGTGGGGTCACCTCAGGTGGTTGCACAGATTCGGGGGGCGGAGGAGGACGTGACAGACGGCGCGGCTCCGGGGCAGCTTCAAAACGGCCGCGCCGGGCGCGCTCCCAAGCGACGTCGCGCGTCACCGCGGCGCGTGACGTCACCACGGCGCGAGACGTCTTTACGGCTCGGGGTTTGAGGGGAGGCTACGGGCGGGGGGGGGGGGGGGGGGGGGGCCGGGAGGTGGGGTCACCTCGGGGGGTTGCACAGATTCGGGGGCGGGGAAGGGGGCTGGACGGAGGAGGGCGTGACAGACGGCGGCTCCGGGGCAGCTTCAAAATGGTCGCGCCCTCAAAAGATGTCGCCGACGTTGCGCGTCACCGCGGCGCGTGACGTCACCGCGCGCCGGCATGCACACACGCACGCACGCATGCCTCCATGTTTGCAGAGGTTAGCCAGCTGCCCCGGGATTGAGGGGGGGGGGACTTTGGTGGCGCCAGGTGGCGTTTAGGAGTTCCGGGGGAGGCCCACGCCAGGTTTTGGATCTTTTAGGCTCTTTTTAGGGGAGCGGCCCGCGCCGGCGAGGCGACCCTGGATCCCGGGGGGTGCGAGCATGCGCGGTTCGTGCCCACCGAGAGCGCGCTGGACGCCCGGGGGAGCGCGAGAAAAGGGATGGAAGAATGGAGTGCGCATGCTCCCCGTCTTTGGATGCTGGAACGAGCATGCGCACTGTGTTGCCCGGAAAGGGAGGGGTGAGCGTGCGCATGCGCAGTGCGTGCTGCCCTGCGTCGCGGTGGAAGGAGGAGGAGCCTGGTGCGTCGAGCATGCGCATTGCTGGCCCAACGGGCGCGAGCGGGAGACTTGACGGCGCCCCGAGCTGCGAGCGGGGTAGAATGGGCATGCGCAGTGCGCGCCCACGGGGAGCGAGCGGGCATGCGCAGTGCGTGCCCGCCGAGGGCGGGAGCGAGCCCAGGGCTGCAGATGTGAGTTCAAATGGGCAACTTCTGAGCACAAGAGCCTCATGTACAATATTATTATTATTTCTTCATTCATAATGAAATATTATTTCATTCATTCACCCAAAGCGATGGAGGCGTGCAACTATTTTATTTTTTTAATAAAAATATATTTTATTGATTTTTTTTTTTTTTTTTTTTTTTTGCAGAGAGGGATGGAGAGTTAGAAACATCGATGAGAGAGAATCATCCACCAGCTGCCTCCTGCACGCCCCCTGCCGGGGGGGATGTGCCCGCAACCAAGGCCCATGCCCTTGACCGGGAATCGAACCCGGGACCTTTCGGTCTGCAGGCCGACACTCTACCCACTGAGCCACACCAGTTTGGGCAATAATTAATATAACATATATATATATTTTTTTAAAATATACTTTATTGATTTTTTACAGAGAGGAAGAGAGAAGGATTGACAGAAACACCCACCAGCTGCCTCCTGCACGCCCCCCACTGGGGATGTGCCCACCACCAAGGTCCATGCCCTTGACCGGGAATCGAACCCAGGACCCTTCCGTCCACAGGCCGACGCTCTACCCACTGAACCACACCGGTCTCGGCAATAATAATACATTTTTAAAAAACCAAAGCAATGTTTTTATTTTGCAAACAGGACGGCCTCAGAGCCAGCGTGCGCGTCACCCCCGGAGGACAGACGGGCGGACGGAGGGACATCCAGGTTCTCGGATCCGGGGACCTTCTGTCCTCTGTCCTCTGTGCAGGCGCCAGGAGGCCCACACCCTGTGTGTGTGTGTGTGTGTGTGTGTGTGGTGTGTGTGTGTCTGTGTGTATGTGTCTCTGTGTGTGTGTGTCTCTGTGTGTATGTGTCTGTGTTTGAGTGTGTGTGTGTGTCTCTGTCTCTGTGTGTGTATGTGTCTCTGTGTGTGAGTGTGTATGTGTCTCTGTGTGTGTGTCTATGTGTGTATCTGAGTATGTCTCTGTGTATATGTCTCTGTGTGTGAGTGTGTGTGTATATGTGTGTCTCTGTGTCGTGTATATGTGTGTGTCTCTGTCTCTCTGTGTCTGTGTGTGTGTGTCTCTGTGTAAGTCTCTCTGTGTCTGTGTGTGTGTCTGTGTCTGTGTGTATGTGTCTCTGTGTGTGTCTGTATATGTGTGCGTACGTGTGTATTTCTATCTGTGTCTGTGTCTTTCTGTGTGTCTATGTGTGTATCTGTATGTCTCTGTGTGTATATGTCTCTGTGTGTATGAGTGTGTGTGTATGTGTGTGTATATGTGTGTGTGTCTCTCTCTGTGTCTGTGTATATGTGTGTGTGTATATGTGTGTGTCTCTCTGTGTCTCTGTGTGTATGTGTCTATGTATATGTGTCTCTGTGTATGTGTCTCTCTGTGTGTGCCTGTGTGTTTGTGTGTGTGTATGTCTCTTTGTATGTGTGTGTGTGTGTCTCTGTGTATGTGTGTGTGTCTGTGTCTCTGTGTCTGTGTTTGTGTGTCTGTGTTTCTGTTTGTGTGTATGTCTCTTTGTGTTTGTGTGTGTGTGTGTGTGTGCCAAGCAGTCACCTGCCCAGAGCAGCGAACAGCCCGGCCGCCCGGTGTCTGCCCGCCTCGATCACACACACACACACACACACACAAACACACACACACCTCCTGTCGCGGCCAGAACAGACGCCCCTTTCACTCCCGCCCTCCGCGGAGCTCCTGTGAGGCCCCACTCAGCAGCCGCGGTTTTGAGGGAACAGGGGCCGGGGGGCCCCCAAACAAGAGAGCCTTATCCGCCCCGGGGCCGAGGGGCAGACAGAAATACACGGAAATACACGGCTGCACAGACCACACAGCACCCCGCCCGTGAGATAGGCACACATATAATACCTTAAATTTAAAAAAAAAAAAAAAAAGGAAAATAAAAAAGAAAGAATGCATCCTCAGTGTGTGCTGGACCCGGGTTCGAGAGGGGGCTGTGGGGCCGGGGAGGGGCCCGGCCAGGCCCAGCGGGAGCCGCCGTCTGCCCCCCGGGCACGCATAGCTGCTTAGCTGGATCCTTGCGGTAAGGAAGAGGCCTGCCAGCCGGTGGAGAATATGAGTGAGTGGAGCCAGGAGGATGGAGAGAATGCTCCTTGTTTGATTCCCCTTTTTAAAATAGGTTTGTATTGATGTCAGCCGAAGCCGGTGTTGCTCAGTGGGTAGAGCGGCGTCGGCCTGCAGATGGAAGGGTCCCGGGTTCGATTCCCGGTCAAGGGCATGGGCCTCGGTGGCTGAGGGCACATCCCCAGTGGGGGGCGTGCAGGAGGCGGCGGATGGATGATTCTCTCTCATCATCAATGTTTCTGACTCTCTCTCCCTCTCCCTCTCTGTAAAAAAAAATCCAATAAAATATATTTTAAAAAATTAAAAAAAGCAGAAACTGGTTTAGCTCAGTGGATGGAGTGTCAGCTTTCGGACGGAAGGGTCCCGGGTTCGATTCCCGGTCAAGGGCATGGACCTCGGTGGCTGAGGGCACATCCCCAGGTGGGGGGTGTGCAAGAGGCAGCGGATGGGTGTTTTTGACTCTCATCTCCCTTCCTCTCTGTATTAAAAAAAAAAAATCAAAATATATTTAGAGAAAGCATCTCATTTTTTAAAATAATAAATAAAATATATTTGTAGCCAAAGCTGGTGTGGCTCAGTGGATAGAGTGTCGGCCTGCAGACTGAAAAGTCTCGGGTTCGATTCCCGGTCAAGGGCATGGACCTCGGTGGCTGAGGGCACATCCCCAGGTGGGGGCGTGCAGGAGGCAGCTGATGGATGACTCTCTCTCATCGATGTTTCTAACTATCTCCCTTCCTTTCTGTACAAAATCAATAAACTATATTTTTTTAAAAATCAATAAAATATATTTTTTAAAAATCAATAAACTATATATTTTTAAAAAATCAATAAAATATATTTTTTAAAAAATCAAAATATATTTTTAAAAAATCAATAAAATATATTTAAAGGAGAAAGAAAAAAAGGTTTGCATTCCAGACTGTCCTGTGTGCTTGCTTTAGGCCCTGAATTTGTGAGGACACCCCCGCCCCCCATCAGGGTGTCCCATTCCCTCCCCCCTATATCCCTCCCCATGTTCCCTCCCCAGCCCTCAGCCCCAGACACACGCGGCCTGTGCAGCCGGCATCCGAGACGGAAGGGGTTTAAGCTCCGTCTGCCGCCGCCAACAAGGTGCCTGTGTTTGAGTTTAATCCATTTTTCCTCTCCGGGGCTGGCGATCAATCACCGCCCATCCCATCCGAGTCTGGGTACCAGTTAGGACTTCCGTCTCTGTATCCCGTCTCCATGGCGACCTGCTCGGACCGGCTGATGGACGGGTGTCCCCCACCCCCACCCCCGTTCCACAGATGGGTTTCCTGGGCGTCCGCCGCCTGCCTTTCCTGCAAAGGAATAAAAATAAAAAAATTTTTATTTTTTATTTTTCAATTATTTTTTTAAAAATGTTGATTGATTTTTTTTTACAGAGAGGAAGGGAGA